TCAAAAAATCTTTCACTTGATGTGGTATCAGTGCCAAAGTTATTAATCTCCCTGGTTTTTTTTTTAAAGTTTTCGAAAATCAAAGTTATTTCCCATTAATAGCATTATTTGTAAGTAACTTTTAATGTTAACATAATAATGACTGTTTGAAGAAACCACCTTTATCCAAACAAAGGTGTCTTATTTAAAAGATTACGTAGTCTCTAAACGATGATCGGTATATCTAGCAAACATTCGGAGGAAATGTGACTAAAAACGCACAAATCTGGGGTTTTGGACGTTTGTAGTTTTACTTCCTAAGTAGGAAGGCTATGTATTTTAGGGAAAAGTACCGATATCGTTATCGAAATGTGGTTGTGAATAATTAGGCCTGCGTAGGGCCTACCCAAGAGATGGGCTATGGACCATGATTTGCGGTATGTTCCAGCGATTGCAGCACAACTTTGATGGAAGATCAAGCCCGAACTAATAAAGATTTCAAAAAAATAAAAACACTTTGCAAAATTACAGATCAGGACCATTCTTTTGACACTTCCATCATCAAAATCGGTCCAAAAATGAGGGAGGAGTTCTGTTCACAAAAATCGGCTTAGCGTATTATACAGGGTGAGTCTTCTATTAAGCTGTCCTAAACAGATTACAGACGAATTGCTTGACATACAGAGATGAAACAAAACTTTTCCCCACTAATTCATACCCAAGGATATTTTTACGTTGTTCCTTGGGTATGAATTAGTGGGGAAAAGTTTTGTTTCATCTCTGTATTTCAAGCCGTACGTCTGTAATCTGTTCAGGACAGCTTAGAAGACTCACCCTGTATATATAGAAGATATATAGAATATATATATATAGATAGATTGGGAGAAATTTGACAAAAATCTAACAAAATTGTGTTTTTTGATAGTTCGTTATTTTGTTTTCAAAGAAGCGAGGCCATGTTTATATAGCCATAGATAAAACATAAGTATGCTTTATCTATGATATAGCCAAAGACACTCTCATCAGTCTTAAATACAGAAAAATGCTTTGAACGTTGATCGGTAGGCCTACACTAGTTTTCTAGGAGTATGCTGCGTAAAATGACATTTTGGCGTCACAGACAGAATGACAGAATGTACAGACAGAGGTCCAATCCAAGATTTTAACCAAAGTGTTACACCTCTTAGAAATGGGCAGGTTTCCTCATTGCCAAGTAGGTACTGAGTAACTGGCGGCTATTGTCAGTCGGGTGCGAGGGATGTGCCGCGCGGCGGACCGAGCCTAACAATAACCAGATTCCAGATGTGACAGCAATCCATGAGTTGTAGGCTATTGCCAATCGGCTGAATTGGAAATATGTTAAAAAAAAATGAACCAGTCGTACAGTATTATTTAAACACATACTGTGTTTGGAGTTAGGCCTATATCACTAAATACTTTAGTTTTATGTTAAGAGTTCAGAATGTAAGTGTTGACAGCACATTACACCTAGGTACGAGAACATTATACATTTACTTTATGTAAGCTACCATCATCATGGTTCATACTATCACAAGACAACTTATTTTAAACAATGCCCACACTTTTTAGATAATAAAAGATAACATTTAACACAATGACAGCCTTATCAAATACAGTACAATGTTCATTTTGGGATGACACCTAGGTTTGCATGTCTGTACCTATTTTGTTTTGTTTATTTCAGCTTAACTGAACCAATAAATGCTTTTATTAATACTTCTGAAGTCAAACGGGGTAAAGCCTGTGGGTAACAGCTAGTATTTTTAAATTCAAAATACGCGGGGTTCAACTTCGGCCGTCGTAGTAGTTCGGCGCTCTGCAGACAGACGGCGCGCTGATCAGTGGCTCGCTCGTGTTACTTCTTTGAAAACATGCATGACTTTAAACACATTTAATTCATGAAATTTAAATCTTAGCTATTTGAAACTTTTACATGAAGGACTTGATAATATTTTGAAGGGGAATATGAAAGCAAAAATTGATAAAATGTCCGTTAATAGGTTGAAAAATAGTGATGAATTTCGACTTATATTTTTTTAATAATCTACGAATCTAAAAATAAAAATAAATTTATTGTTTCATATTTCACTAGGCATTAAAGCATTCTTTAAATTGAGACCAAATTCAAAATTTTACACCAACAAATAAACCCGTAGTTTGTGTTTAAATTTAACATTATTCTTATGGGACTAAAAATCCAATATGGCGGAGGTACCACAGACTCTTAAAGATCCCTCTACAGATTTGTTTACATTTTGGCCATGTGGATAATACTTTTTAATGAAACAGCTGTTAATTTGTAAATTGTATTTTAAACAAGACACATTAATTGGGAGTTACTGGATTGTCCAAAAGAAGCATTTGCAATGTTATTTTCTGATTTTAAAATTAATTTTTTTCTGTATCATGTTATGTTTTGCAATATATACCATGACGAAATCAGTGGAAAATCCTTTTATCACAGTAACTCTTAAAATTATTTCTTATTGACCTTATATCTATTTTACGGGTTGGTGACTGCCCTTTTCACCATTTTTGTCTTTATTTTTATCATATTGTTCTAGACAGATCATCATAGGTTCATGAGATTATTGTCATACATGTTTTCAATCATTGGAAAATTAAGCAGCTACTGTCATGACAGTTGGTCATATTCCTTTTAAACTAGATCACATCATCCTTTATAAGATACGTTGATTAATAATGCATGTAAACGTCAATATTTACGTAACAGCAAATTTACAGTATTTTTGCTTTTTGGAAATGTCCCATTGCTATGTCATTTGCATTATTTGTTGTCAATGAAGCCGCATATAAATGAGGAGGCCCCTAACAGTTTAAGAATAAAAGCCAACTTCACTTCAAGTATATTCCACTACACCTCACATTCCGTAGAGAGATTATATTGACAACTTTATGTAATTTATATGACTGAGACAACTAACTGACATCCCCCATGTCAAAGAATTCCAGCTTTAACAGTAACCCCACAACAAATTTCTCAAAACTGTGATAGAGGGTTATTCATTAGCACAGAAGTACGATATGAACTGACGCGACGTGACGAAGGAAAAATCAAACTTACACTGTAATGGATATCTCCCGTTGAAGTTAGAACGTGTCTTCCCAACAAACAGATATTTTTTCAAATAAAATCATAGATTAATCTGCATTACACTGATGAAATCACGGAAGTGTTTAACTACAAAAGATCCACCAATACGATTTTAATACTATTTAAAGTTTAATCCAAACGATGAGATACCAGATAATATACTAATAACTCCGATGACGTACAGTATGGGAGATATTTTATTCATTGAATGATTAACCATATTTGGTAACTATCATTATTGTTTTTACACTTATTAATCTTTAAACAATGCTAAATGCTCAAAATATGTACAATTTCACTCAATTTATCACAGTTAGATGAATTAGCGTAATCCTTGAAAATAACCGTCGATTTCGACGGGTTTCACCTAGTACTTATTTAATACGCAAGCAGGTTTTTTGTGACAATTACTCCTCCGAAACTACTGAACCGATTGACATGTTTTTGGTGTCATTGGATGGAGCGTAACGTGAAGTTGTGCAGGAAACTTTCTTTTTAGGGAAATAATTAGAGAGTGAGGCCCTGGGGCCCTTCAAAGTTTCGTATTTCTCCATAAGATTAACATGGGAAACAAAAATTGTTATGAAACTCCAGCTGTTGTCAAAAATTAAAAGTGAGAAGAAGAACATATGTTAATTGTAAACAGTCAATAAGTTTGTTAATTTAACAGTTTGCTATAAACATTTACTGAATTGGTTGAAATGAAATATTTACTATTTGAATTCGGGTTGGCGTAAATATTACGATGGAAAAAAGCCAGAAAGCCTGGATAAATTGATATAATCTGTTATGTACATCTTGAGTATTACCGTATTACCATAATCTTTGAGTCGAATCATGAGAAATTATGACTGTTGTTCGGTTTAAAATAACACCTGTCATACTTAGCAATTGCTGGAATTCGAGCAACAGGGACACTAGTACTTATTTAATACGCAAGCAGATTTTTTGTGACAATTACTCCTCCGAAACTACTGAACCGATTGACATGTTTTTGATGTCATTGGTAAGAGCGTAACCTGAAGTTGTGCAGGAAACTTTCTTTTTAGGGAAATAATTAGAGAGTGAGGCCCTGGGGCCCTTTAAAGTTTCGTATTTCTCCATAACATTAACATGGGAAACAAACATTGTTATGAAACTCCAGCTGTTGTCAGAAATGCTGTTCTGTTATTTAATTTAATTTGTTTACAAGGAGAATAGTTTCTTGGTGCCATGTGGTCAATGAATTATACTTTTGCATAGATTTAAAATGCTATACACTATATAAAATGATAGTACTGTAATACATTAAGAGATCTTCGTTTAAATAATCACTAAGCACGAGAGCCTTTGCCAATATGTTTCCTGTTAAGTGTGTTGTAACTGTTTCTTATAATATATTACTGTATCTTAATGTAAAACCGAATTATTCTTTTCTGCATTCTCGCCCCGTAGCGAAGCACGGGCAGAGCAACTAGTAATTATTTAAATGTAATTTTACAGCTGTTCCTTCACATGAATGTTTAACAACACCCAGATTATACACAAGAGACAAAACAGTTTATGAAAATGTATTTGAAAAGGCTACTTTTTAAACAACTGTGACCTGAGGTAGTTAAATCCCTCTTAAAAGTGAAGATCTAAAATCAACAAATGTATTCCAAATAAGTAGTCACCTAATAACTGATCTAAACAAACATTATCTTGTAAAGGTAAAGGGCATTGCACTGGATTCATTTTGCCACGGGAACAAGTTTTGGGCCCTGAACTGCGCAATTTAAGCACGGGTCCCTTCGTTATTATTTGTTTTCTTGGTCCGGGGTCCACAAAAGCCAAACGTAAATCCTGGTACCTATTTATTAAATTTTTCAATTAGCTACACAGGTATTTGGTATTGTTTGCTTACTCTATCTGCCGCTCTAAGAAGTCGACGCCGATGGTCTTCTTGTAGTCTTTGGTAAATGTCCCCTTGCAGTACCTCTGTATCATACTGGATTTGCCTACTGCGCCGTTGCCTACGATCACCACCTGTAACAGATAATTGATGGAATTGATTACTGTGCTATTCTACAGTACTACAAACTATTTATAGCTAAAACATGTTCAGCATTCCATAGCTAGTCCGAGTAGTTTCGCAGACACGTTGCAATACCTGTAACCCAGAAGGAAAACACTCCACACTCCAGAAATCTAGTATAAAAGTCCACTAATATACTTTATCCCAGAGTACTTCATAGCACAACTTATACTTCTTTCAATTTGTCCAAGTAGCTATCTTTTACCCTATATCCAAGTCCAATAAAATTGTAACAAATGTTTGGGGATATATGAGTTATGTTAGTGTATTGGGTTTGATTATGTTTGGAGTGTCCAATCGGATTTGATCGACCATATTTTATATGTATTTGCCGTCTTGTGAGTCAACAGTATACCGTTATTCATAGATGAAAAACAACCTATCTTAAGAACACTATTTGGTAATACGTCTTTCATTTGGTAATACAGTACTGTCCATTCAAGAGCCCATCGATTAGTTTAGCAGCACAAAAATAAGAACTTTTAACAAAAAAATCACTTATAAATAAATAGTGTAAATATAAGTTTAAGGTGATATTAGACGAATTTTTATCACCTTCCGTAATATTTTGAGGCCAAAGGTCCAAATACTCGTTTCCTTCATAAGTAGCCTAAATTCTCTTTTTTAATTCTTATTTGTGCTGCTCGACCAATCATTGGGATGTTTTATGGACGGTATTACCAAATTCAAGAAAATATTGTTTATAATATGAGTTGTTTTTCATGACGAAGTTTGAAATATTTTACAATACATTTACAACACACTAGTACGAATAGTAGCCATTAACATTTTACAATGTGGTACCCTACCTAAAATTAAAGCTGTTTGACCTCACGGTAATGGGTAAAAATAAGCATATATGTATCCCCTGTCAACTTTTCATCTTCACCCCACGGTCTAACACTAGTAAGTGACGTAGCGTGCCTGAGTCTGACAGTCAGCTGTCACTTGCAATGTTCCAATACGATATTTACGGCTGTTTTACGACTACCTAATCACACCAGCACAAGTCACTTACCGTTCATTACGACGACGACGTTTATGGAACACTTTCTAGCGAAATTTGCATATTAGGTGAACATTTTAACCTACACTTCAAGTAATGCAGACTTCTATGCCTGAATTTTATAGCACAGAACGCAATAGGCCTACCCACGTAAAAAATAGTCCTTACAAGATTTATTTTTTTAGTTCGTTTCCTAAACTGTAATGATGACAACATTATATTATCCCTAGTATACCTGTTCCAGTCATGTCCCTAGCGAGTGTCACATCAGTTCCAACCTTATCCCTATTTCGTGTCACGCCGGTTCCAGCCCTGTTTCTAGAATGTGTCACACCTGTTCCAAACATGTCCCCAGCAGATGTCACACCTGTTCCAGCCCTGTCCCTAGTACATGTCACACCTGTTCCAGCCCTGTTCCTAGTAGGTGTTTCACCAATTCCAACCTTGTCCGTAGTATGTCACACTAGTTCCAACCTTGTCCCTAGTACATGTCGCACCTGTTATCTATGCAACACTAGTCACACACCTGTTACACCGGCTCTAGCTTCGCCTACACCACTTACACCCATTACTGCCACTTCAGTATAACTGAGGACAACTTTTTGTGCGAATTCATTTACTTAATTAGACACTCAACGTTCGACATAACTGTTATTCTTAACTAAGATTAGGAGCAACTTGGCGTCGGTCGATAAGAAGCAACCACGACCCGTTTGGATCTGATGTCAAAATATCCCCCTATCAAGTTGTAGAACTTAGCTTAGTTAGCTAGCAGTGACACTCTTACCAATCGTTACTATAGATCATATAGACTGAAAAAAGCATCTAAAACGTTAGTTTATGAACACATTTTTGTTTTGTATCCTAATTTAAAAACATAAATTGGACATGCTCCTTAAAATATTAATCATCATTAAATGTGTTTTTAATTCATAAAACTGTGCTATTTATAAAACGTAGCTTATTCTTAATGTCTTTATCCCAACCAAACAATTTAATTACGAGCAAGATACGAGTATTTTAATCTAGTATTGTTACAAAACGGCAAAGCACTAATCGTAAAATCCACCCTAAAATAAAGAAACGGTCGAAGCGCACTTCTATGATGAAGCACATATACAAATAGGCTTCTCAATTTACAATAGAAGGAGAAGTATGCCTATACTTACACACAGTCGTATCAGTAACCGCATAGGAATTGGATCTTTAAGGGTCAGTAATTGCATATATATAAAACCACTGTTAAGAGTCTTCCTTAGTGGTAGCCATGTTGGATTTCTTCCCCATAAGAACAATGTTAAACATTACATCATTTGTAGACACGTAACGGCGTTATTTGTTAAGATATAGCTTTGAAATTTATAATTTGTATTTTTAACATAATAGACTCGTGACTGAGGTTTTTGAATTTCGAAAATCCATTTTCATTTCCTTTCAATAATTAGCTTAATTTTAAGCTAATTAATAATCAATTATTCATTATAAAAATTAAAAATTGTGAAATAAAAAACGTCAATCTCTAGAGGACCGCAATTCCTTAAATTTAACTCCTTATCCATAATTATATGACAATTTGCTGATGAGATATTTGGACCCAAAGTTAACATTGTTCTTATGGGGAAGAAATCCAACATGGCTTCCACTAAGGAAGACTCTTAAGTCATTTTTAATTCCTTTACTGAACCTTCTGTGCCTAAACACTTCTGTCCTTGAAGTTCCATTGAATGGAGATGGGATACGCTACGGCTACAGGCGTGCAGTAAATGTCCCTAATTAGAGCTAATTCCCTCAGTAATCGCACAGCCACAGCGACGGTGTCGTCGTCCAGCAACAGGCCTCGCTTTAAAACGCCCACTTTTATTGTTGAACTCCACAGTTGCCATACAACCGATTCAGAAATTCTAAGAGGCTCGAGGAAACAGCTAGGTCAAGTGACATTAAAAATTGCACAGTGTAGTATATATCGTTCGAGGCTCTCTTCGACTGAATCTGTAATTGCCTATAGGCACACGTGTAGGTCTACTGCGAAACATTTCAAGGAAATACGTAGTAGTATCGATTAATGAAATATATAGTAATATCTTTGAATTTGTAATTTTAATACAAATAATTACAAGAAATGGTTTTAAGTAGGCCTATACTAAGCATTAAAGTCGGTCGTAATGAAATAAAAAGTAGATAAATTTTATATTCAAAACTAAATGACGAGAGTCAAAAAATGTCATTATTAAATTGTTATTTCTTAACTAATTTCATCAATGTCGAGTTGAGACGTTGGACAACTACAAACCCATCGAAGTATATTAAAACAATCAAACCTTGCCTACAACAACAGAACCTTGACAAGTACCTTTCTCCTACAAATCCTTGTAGGCCTATTTATACGAAGAATAATATTATAGCTGAATTATGTTACAGACACTGATTTAAATGTTTTGCATACCCTCGTTGTTTTATTTCAGTTGGAATATTGATATCATGGTAATCAAAAAACGGATCAATTAATAGGAAACTGGGTTTTATTCAATCACATGTTGAATCAATCTCGAGATCGGTAATCTTCGGTTTAGATTGTTACGAACATAGGTATCCCTGTAAAATAGGTGCTGCAATTCTACTCAAGTTTTCCAACTAATCAAATTATAATTAGTTTCCCCATACGGCAAATGAAACAATAACAAATGGCGTGGACATGAAAGTGTTTGAGACAGGGAACTACTAAATAAACATACCCATTGTACGACAATGCTCGGTTTTATAAGACGAGCGTTTTTCTCCGGTTCCCGTCATTATACGTTACATTCCCACAGTTCTGTTATAAGCGACTGTTCCGTGCAATTTAGACTCGGTCCTGTATAATCATTATGTAAATACTACCATACTGTTGAGACATTACCATCATATTAGCAGCCGAAACACAGCCAAGTTTGCCATAGTCTAACGTACAATTTATAGGAAAAATCCTATCCTATATGAGGACGTAAATGAGCAATGTTGTTTGCTTGTATGTATGCATGCTTGCTTGCACAAAAGTCTCGAAAACGGCTTCGACGATTTCCTTAAAATATTAGGTCTGGTAAAGTATATTTGGGTCTAAACAAAAATGTTCTTGGAAAGGTGAATGGGAATTGCACTGCATTAATTTTGCCTCCGAAACAAGTTTTGGACCCCCCAAATCTGCGCAATTTTTGCAAGGGTCCTTTCGTATTAGGTTGAAAGAGGATGCTAACCCCCCCCCCCCCAAAAAAAAAAAAACCAACAAACAGACACTGCAGCAGAAACATCATCCTTATTAGAGATAGGTATAGATTAAATTGTTACCGACGTGGACGGATCGACTGGACGGGACCATTATCCGCGGAACTCGCTCGAGCTCATCAACCGTAAGTGATAAAACGTAAACCATCGCTACAGCTCTATTGCACGCCGACAGAAGTGTGTATGGAACGTGTCAACCACTACAGTCCTGGGCTACTTTTTACCGGAGACGGCGAAGTTTAATTACAAAAAACTGACATTCCTACAGCATCGGCCTCGAGTAGTGTAAGTTTAACTGGAACCGGACAGAGCGGTGAAACTGGGATCAGAGTGTCAGTACTATACAAACGAGACACTCTTTATGTTTTCAGTCTTTACGTGTCCCATTCATTTTAGTATTTATCTACGCCAATTGCATTTTTTAAAGCTTTTTTAGGGAGTGGTACAAAGCCTAGTATTGTTACTATCTAACGTCAACATATTGTCATAAATCATCAATTAATACTAGCCCATTTACAAATGACATTTGGGTTCAGTGCCGTTGATCCCATTCGCAATCAACCCAGCAATTTTCATATCTGAAGGTAGGCACGATAACGACTCAGCTACCCAGCAAACTGTTCTTTATTATGTGGTGTTTAAATAATTTACGTATTACAGCTCGTAACCAAAAACTATTGCTGATAG